GGAGCAAGGAGTCAGGCTGCTTACAATGGCACATGGTTTCTATTTCATGAATTTGGATTTCAGCTTTCAAGGAAAAAATCTCTAATTCTATTTAAAAGAACTTTTCAATGCATAAAATTTTATTTGCTATGAAATTTCACTTCAACAACGTTGGGAAATAGGTAATCATGGGAATTGAGCTTCAAAAGAGAATTAATATGATGTTCAAGGAAATGGAGCATAAGAGATTTTTATGTAACTATCCTCTCTTCCAACAGCACCCATAAAGTTAAGCATATGCTTAAGTGATTTACTACATCGAGGCCAAACATTCTGCATGTTGCAAACATGAAATCTTACTCCCACAGCATAAATGCTTTTACTCCTTGTGAATTGCAAGTATTCGGTTTAAGTTTGCATCTTGATGTGTGCTACTGCACACAGGAAAAAAACCAAAAACCATATGTATTTTGTCTAACTTTGTGAAAGATGATTAGAAATGTAGGCCTTGTGAGCTACTTGAAAAATAAGGATATTTGCCACTAACTTTATCTCAGGCTTTTGTCAAAGTCCTTTTCTCTGGCAGTTTAAACAAGGACTATGCAGACTTTAAAGTTTGAATGAAACAGAAGGGCTTGGCTTATTCCATGAGGATGCTCAACATGAATCCCTTTATTTCAGTGGGACACCTGAACATCAGATAAATTGTTTAATATAGAAATACAGAAATACTACAGAAACAAACATGAAAGTGGACAGACCTTCACCATTTATGTGCATGTTTGTTCCTAACCTCTCTGCAATCTGATGTTATAATAATGAAAGAAGATAATGAACGGAGCCGGTAAGAGAGGCAGCTTATGGAAACAAAACAATATACCTGTGTGCAGGCATGTGCGTACAAACACACACACACTGAGCAGCTGCAAATGTTCGAACTCTAGAACAACCTGAGGAAAGTGATTTAACTGGCATGAAGGCTGGCAATTTATATCACCTAGTTCTCGCAAACAAGCCTTTAATGTCTCTACTGCCACAATGTACTTCAAATCGCTCATTACTCACAAGAAGCAGTTAATTACAACTTTTAAATTTCTTTATGGTATTTTCTTCTGTTCTGGACCCGTATCTGTGATTTACTTCAAAGGAGTAACTTCTCATTACCAAGAAAGAACAAATACATATACCATGTTGTCAGATCTTCTGGCTTGCTTCTTGAACCAAAACTCTGCAAAACTGCTCCAGAAGTCCAATTATTTAATAGCATTGCTCTAGTACAACAGCAATGAAGTCATCCTTAGCCCACCTGTAACACCATTTCCCATCCTGCTGTTTATCATGTAATTCCCTCACATCATTACCTCTGCCTCATGTGCCTTGTTACAATACTCCTCTCTTCCCTACGCTTCTCTTCTGGTTTTTGGTGTACCCCATTAATCCTAAGGAGTTGTTTAGTTGGGACCTCTTCCAGCTTTTGAAACGCAGGAGCTTAAAGGAGCATGTGGACAACGACCCTAAGCCCATCTCTCTTCACAGAGCTGCTGGGTCCCGTTTTCTTTGAGAACTCTGCTGGATAAAGGCTTCTGCTACCTTCTTACCTATTTTAGCTGCTGGCCTGGGTGCCCCAAAGTTTCCACCTGCTCTTATATTTTAACCGACAGCACTGAGGCCATTCCAAACATCGTACTTCCATCCCTACCTCTCCACTGACTTTGGCCCTGGCAAATAAGGGGCCATAAGCAATGCCACCACAAGAAATTTAGCAGAATATCTGAGCAGCAGAGGTGGGAAGTTCAGGCCAACAAGTTCATGGGTGTACAACAGTGGACCACGTCTAACTGTGGTTTGAACATCCACAGGTCTACTGAAAAAAACATCTCTGCTCAGTGGCCCAAGCGAGTACAGTTTCAGTGGCAGGGAAAGTGTCATTGAAGTGTGTCACTTCGGTCTGCCATCCCTGCAATTCAGCCTATGAACAGTCCTTTCCGACAGCAGAAAGCCTGAGTGACAATCCCTTTTACCAAGCACCGTATTAAAAGGTTACATCATTATTTTGAATATGCACTGTTATATTTTGGTGACATTTTACAGACACGCAGCATTTGTTTGCAATTATTCTATGAGCGTAGGATTGAGCGCACACCTACGCTTCATTTAATATACAATGAATTGCATTCCCAACTCGGAGCAGATGTACAGAAAATATCGTGTCCCCATGTCATTCCTCATTAGCCAAGTCCTGTAATTTTAACGCAGGAAGCTCGGGATTTGCACTGGAGCATGGTTAGCAGCATGTGCCAGTTGCTGCAGCTCAGCTGCCAGACAGGGTGCTATGTAAGAGGTGGCGTCTGCAGCACAGAGGTGGCCCGCAGGCTGTGCCAGCTCTGTCAGAGTTTGCTGGACCTCAGTGCACAAATTTGAAGAGGAAAAAAAAAAACCCACAAAAGGAATTAACTCTCTATGACCTGCCTTTCCCTTCTTAAACTCAACATTTTCTCTGAAAACTGATTCTGTAAGAGCAATATAAAATCATACTCTTCTTGGGCACCTATGGAAAAGCAAGTGCCTGCAGCAAATGTGTGCACCGACGTAAATTAGGGTAAGCTGGAGGTGTCCCACAAACACTACCTGGAGGGTGCCAGCAAACACCATCACAGCACCCTTCTTTCTGAGGTTTACTTCATGCTTCCTCCTTATTGCTAGTCAGAATGTGATTTCATTTTGACTTTGGTGTTCTACTGGCACCCTAGCACACCTCCTTCTAATAAATCCTTTATTTGGTTTATAAGAAGTGCCAATATTTGGGTAATAAGAATGATCTTTTAGGTACCAGACTTTCCTGCCACTGATGTGAAATAAGGTAAGCACAGAGCAATATTCTAATATTTGCACGGATGAGAGAGGAGGTCACAATGTGTTTTCATCTACTCATGCTAGTATTCTCACTGACGTCAAAAGAAGGTTTGCGTAAGCGTGACAAAGAAGCAGGATTTAACCCTTCATCAAAACCTCTGGAAACGCTAAATTTGATTGGACTATAAAAATAAGAAGCCTTATGAGAAAAATTGCAAGTGTTTTGCCTTGAGACAACATTGATCCTGGCATCGAGAGCCACAGGTTTCCTTCAGGAAGGCATCTAGGTGAGAAGGCTCCCAGGGAGAGGGGTGGGAGTGCCTTCAGTTAACCTCTAGACTTTTGGGAAAGATGTCTTTTTGTTTCCTCTGGATCCAAAATCTCTGGACCAAAACAGTTTTTTCGTATCAGATCTGTTTTCCAGGATATTCCCATGCCCCTAAAATTTCTAAGGTATAAACACATTAAAAGCTGGGGTAATCATTAGGATATGTGGATTGGAATAAACCAGGATGCAGACACAAATTCAATGCTATTTTAAGACTTGTGGTGGTAGCAAAAACGTGCAGAGATTTGAGCAGGAGTTCTCTTGTTGGTTTTGGCGAAATGCCCAGTTAAGCCCTGACAACACTCAAGATTTTCAAAAGGGAATTTTCTGTGATTACAACACGAAACACACTCAGCTACTCTCACATCTTACTTTGTGTACCACTTTATCAGAAAGCAGAGGGCTGGACTTATTACTATTATTAAGTGATAGAATTATCATCATCTTAGTTTCAATGCCATTGATTGTTTCTTTAGATTTTACACTTCAGATGCCAGTAAATAGTCATTGTGATAGTAAGGTTTCTGCTGAAGTTTGCATACCAGAGCAACTGTTCTAAACTATCAATTACACATACTGAAATCTAAATACTGAAACCAGCTCCACCCTTCCTAAATTGATCCTAACCAAATACATTTAAAAATGAACCACACTATGTCTCACAGGCTTGTACGATCCAAAAGCAGACAGTTGGAAATGCAATTTGATTCTGAACCAAATTTTGCTTTAGCATGCACCGAGGATAATTGAGTAATTGTTTCAAACCAGAAACCGAGTACAGTGAGAATATAAAAACCACTGACCTTTCTTTGCGAGATTACTGTTGGGTTCGTACTTCTCAATCAGTTGTTGAACTTGTTCTTGTTTTAACGGTGGATAAAGGATTTCATTTAATCGTGGATCACGTTGCTTAAAATTTATAAATTCCATCATCTGATCAACAGTAAGGTATGGTTTGCTCTTGGCACCACTAGAGAAAAATGTAAGCAACAGCAAAGCCATTAAAATACATTTCCTTGAAATCTTATTCAATGTTCTGCAACTTCACAGAGAAACTGAAACAAGATGAAACTACCGTACAACAAAAACTTTGTCCCATGTGTCTCCAAACTAAGTTACTTTGCCAGCATATAATGGCAAACATTCTTCATCAAACACCTAGGACTAAGATTTTTAAAAGCATTCAGCATTATCGACATCAATGGGAAGAGTTAGAGCAATGCTAAAAGCTTTTCATTCCTCTGAATTCCTAGAACTAAGCAATTTAAAAAAGTAAAAGAGAAAACGACCTGGAATTCAATCCTGAGCTTGCCGCAAACACTCCGCTGGCACTCCTGGCCCAACTATTTGGTTTTACTGCTGCATAACAGCAGCCCTGACTTCATTATCTCAGTATTTGCTCGGGTTTTGGTTTTTTGTTTTTGTTTTTTTTTTTTTAATAAACCTGCTAAGAAATGCTAGGCCCTCTGCACAGAGTTTGGGTACAATTTGTACCCAGATGGAGATCCAGGAAGCCTTCAAGCCAGGCGACGTGCTTAGGGTTGTCTACAGCCCTCGGGACTGGCCTACTTCTACTCTGCGAGAGAGTATGGCAAGTCTACCCCCGGGTTCAATGGGAGCAAACTAGGCCAAGGCTGCGTTCCTCTGAAACCTCAACCTTAGAGAAAATAAGCACAGAAGGAGTACGTGAGCACACCCATGTTGCAAAGATAATGTTCACTAATTGCTTTGGTGGTTTTGGGATGTATTTTGGAAATTACTTTGCTTTCATATTGCTTCATGTTCTGACTCCATTGATCAGGCTCTGCTGAAACCGGGAAGTACGACAACTTACTGCAAGGGGTAGAAGCAACACCAGTTATATAGCTTGTAACTGAATGTATGAAATCAGTTGTAGCTGGCTGCTAATTTAATTTCACGGTGTGAATTCATGATGCACAAATCCTAAAAGTTACTGCATTTTTTTGCAACTCCTAATTAAGCTTTGGGGGTGATTATACATATTCTTATGCCTATTGCATGCTGTTACTGCTTATTACTCTTCTTCCTTTACTTTCATAGAAGCCTAAACTATCCTAATCCATACAGAAAAACAAGACCCGGCAGTTCTGCTCCTCTAGGAACAAATTACTTTAAAACTCTGGCCATTAGAATCGGAGGCAAAAGCCTGGGAGAGAAGGAATCCTTGATCCGAGGTTAAATAACAGCCCTGCTTGTCATTGAAATCTGTTCTTGGCAATTGCTGCATGGTGCTGTAGTCTAAATAACCTACTTTGCCATCCCTAGCCCAGAAAATCAGTGAAGGATAGAAAAAAAAAAAAAAAAAAAAAGAGCATCTTTTCTTACAACTCAGAAAAGATGTGGTCGATCTCAGGCCGAGGGCAGAGGTTGTTTAAGAACACCCTGTACACATCCGGCGTGAAGTCGTCTTGAGGGATTGAATCATTCTGCAAAATGGGGAAAAAAGAGTGAAAGAACGATACAGCACTTTCATATGCTTTTTGTAAACAGATCACTCACTACTGCACTTCTTTTGATTTCCTTCCTGCAACCTAGAGGAGCCCAGATTTTGCAGAATAACGAACTCCCCTGAATAATAGGAGCAGCTTAAAGAGTACATCTTTAAAAAAACATACAAATACATCCATTATCTTAGTTTCCATCAGGCAAAGTTATCTCTTTCTCTGAGCACCTGTGAAGAAGAAACAAAGGACATCTCCCCATCTAACCCCATTATCTATAGCATAAATAGAATCATAGAATCATAGAATAGAATAATAGAATCATTAAGGTTGGAAAAGACCTCTAAGATCATCAAGTCCAACCGTTAACCTAACACCACCATGCCCACTAAGGTACATCAATCCTGATGAAGCCTCTGAGCTCAATCCCAGCGGGGCAGCTGACCAGGGGTGCTGAGCCCGCATGCTTCTGCGAGCAAAATGGCAGCGTTACAGAGGATGAACACGTTACTCATCTTACCAAAGCTTTCAAAGAACCGGGGAACGAACCGGGCCATTGAGTCATTATTAATACTCTTATTCTCTGACAGCACCAGCAATGTTTCCTTTTCCTTCCTGGAGATACACGTTCAAGATACCGCAATTCCGGGCAAGACTCACACAGTGTAGCTTTTCCATATGCCTTTGTCCTAAACACTTAGCGTAATGCATTTGGGAATCAGATTTCTTTTACAGAAATTGATAAAAATGCTCTCCTATAGAAGAGATACCAGCATTTTTTCTTACATTTTCTAAAATTTAGAACAATTTACATTTAAACCTGCTTCTAAATGACACGTTCATCATCCCCATTATATCTGCTCGCTCTTCTCTGAAAAAATATAATTACTATTTTTAACTGGAGGGAATTACTGGACTGGATAAGGAAAACAGTCCTTTGCATGAAGTTCGAGAGCCCTCCTCCCACTTGCACGTGCTGCCTTCAAGCTCCAGAGTTTTTGCAGAAGACAGCAAGGACTGCTTCTTTAGTGGAGCTGGGAAGAAATGAGGACCCCAAGGAAGGCGCAAAGCTTTTTTCAGCACAGAACAGTAACTGTGTGTTCACTGGCTTCTGTCTTTGCATCAGTGCACAGAGAAAGGAAAACGGCACAGAAGCTTGTATTTTGTGGAGAGGAAACCTTATAAAGGAACAAGAAAAAGGAAAACACAAAAAAAGCGAAATGCAAATACTGAAAATCTCAAGTTTTGAGTTTCTCCAAGCTAACTTTATCAAAAGCTATGACACGTAGCCTCCGGGAGCAGCACGGGCCCACGTGACGCCTCTCCATGGCTCCAAAATAATGCCTGAATCTGATGAACTGGAGGAAGAAAATTGTAACTTGAACACAAAGCCATTTGCTTTTAAATGCCGTTGAACCTGGTCGTCTCAGAAGCAAGCTGCTGGTAGAGGAAATCGTCGCTTTTATTTATTCTGCCTGTTTAACGCCGTTGCCAAGGGAACCGGAAGCATTGATTCAAGCCTTTGTTAGATGGAAGGAAACTTTTCCATATTTTTCCTGCTTTGCGTTAAAATAAATAAATAAATAAATAAATGCCACGGGCATCACTTTCTCTCTCCTTTCATCTATGAAACCCGCAGAGGCCCGAGAGGGTTTTGTACCGTGGCCATCATGCAGTGTTTCTGTCCACAAGCGTGGACTGAACCTGACCCAGCTCACGCTCGGACCGAGCTGGGCCGTTTCCCTGCTCTGCCTGGGTATCCATCTCCAGGCTTCAATGGTCTGAGGTCACCAGCCCTTACACCCTTGTGCCTTCCTTTTTTTGGCAGACTGTGCGAGTGGCTGCAGGGTGAACTGGTTCAAAACTTTCCTGGCCAAAACAAACCCTGTGCACTTTACTGTGGGATCAGCTCGCTGAGCCAGGTAACTCGCCAACAGCACAACTGCTAAATCCAGTGCAAGGGTGGATGGAGAAGTTTGTAACCTGAAGTTGGAGGATGGAGATAGCTCCCTTCAGCGACAGCCGTTGGCGACTCAGAACCACGTGTGAAACTGCACCTACTATACTTCGATAAATTTGAGCTGCGGTGCTTTCGGTTGAGAGTAGGACTGCTGATACTTGTGTTTTCCTAAAGGGCAGGATTCATAAAGCTTGTGAATCTTCTTGTTATAGCCGGCACCCCGCTCTCCTCTGTTCCCTGTCCCTATAATCCCAGCAACCTATAATTCAGCAACCTACTGCTCCTCAGCCAGCACTTCTCCTAAGGGCATTTTAGATGTTGATTCTGTAATTAACACTAAATTACAGTCTCCCATTGACCTAATATATTTTTGCCTTTACAGGGGATCTGAAGGTACTCAACACTGAACAAAATGTGGGTTTTTTCCGACAACCCGAGATCCAGGCTTTTATTTGCCACTTGGTTCCAATTAGGAAATATACCTGTTTCCCAACACATACTACAAAGAGGGTAACAAATACAAGTCTTCAGGCATAAGTACAGAACCTTTTAATAATTATTTCCTACCGGTAACATAATCGGTAGGCTACAAAACACAGAGATCTAGATGGGAGATGAAAGCCTTGCTGCAAGCATTTGCCACCCCAGGCACAACCTCAGACAACTATATTTGGATTCCAAAAGCCTGCCTGCTGAAAGGGATTAAAATACGCTGCCCCTTTCCTCAGCCTGGTCTGAGCCATCCACATTTCGGTGGAACCACCCACACACCTTATGCGCTAATCTCTTTTTTGAGACCAATGAATAAATGACAAACTTTCTGTACCACATGAGAGCATCCCTCATATCCAGCTTTGCTGAATACTGGCACTCAATTTTATTGTGTGATTAAGACTCTCTACTAATTTCAAGCACTGTTGATTTATGATTTGTCTGGTAACCTGCCTGCTTTTATAACATCTGTATCCAGTCTGTTATATATTCAGCAGCACAACAGCTAATTCAGGTTATTTGCACAGACGGGACTCAATAGCTGGTTGTTTTGCCTTAAGTTAACAGTTAAGCTCACTGGTGCTTCACTGTGGAGCTCTACATTAACTGGAAGGCAGAAACCAGTCTTCACAGCCAAACAGGTGACTAAAATAAAGCTCTTCAAATTCTATTTAAGGCACCTTTGACTAAAACCAAACCAAACAAAAATACCCAACAATAACAAAAAGCACCTCCCTTCCCCAAAAGTAGCCAAGATTTAAAAAAAATAAAATCATAGGGGAAATCAGATGCCAAACTCAAAAACTCACTGGCATATTTTAAAACTTCATTTAAACATTTATATAAACATTCCTCTGCTTTCAGAGCTGCTGGATGACGAATGCTGCCAAAAATCAGATCACACAGGGTTTGGTCTTGCAAGATTCTATACACGCCAGGTCCGACCCAGAAATACATAAATAAATAAATCCACGCTTTGAAAACGTGCTTGACTTGAGGTCCATGGGTCATCCCACTGCAGTCATGTTCAACTGCTAGGCCGAATCGGAGCTGGTGTGTTCAGCCCCGCAGACAATCCATCCCTTATTAAGGTCCCTAAATATGAAATAAAGAGTTTATTTTCAGCACTTCTGAGGAGCCTCTCTGGTGCTATTTTTCCACAGTAGCATGAAGGCAATTATCCAGGCAACGAGAACTCTTCCTCCTCTCACACTAAATGCGGTGCCTACACGTTGTCCCACGAGGTCTCCTGGCAAGCACACACAGAGGGAATTTGCTGAAGAGTAGGGCTAGCGGATGCTGAAGTTTGTACTGTCACAGACAAGTCCATGCAGTGATACTGTCCCCTGGCAGCGTAGCTCAGGCTGCCCTATGCTAAGGTCACTGTGTAAGGTATACGAGGGACAGTCCCAACCTTGAAGCTATGAATCAGGAAGAGAGTGATAAATGCTGACTTGGCATCCTCTTACCCATGACTGTGAATTTCATTTTGTGTTTTAGGGTCATCCACAGGTTCTGAGAGGTGCAGCAAAACATCATGTGAAACTCATGGCCAACAAGCCCCGTATCTTCCTAAGCAATGGGAAGTATGTTTTTTCTATGAAACTTGGAGAGAAGACCCGTAGAGGGACCTTCATGAGGCATGAATAAAAAACACCCCAAAAGCCTAAGCTGTTAATGTCCATGAGAGACTTTCATGAATTCTCTGAATAATTTGGTGTGGTTTTACTGAGGAAGATTCTCTGTTATTCATGTCTTGCACGCTGCTGGGAGTCCAGTGTTCTTCAAGGCTTTACGAGAACACTTTGTCCTGTAGTACAATGGGGCAGAAAAGCTGGAAGTTGGAGTTAAGAATTTTACTTGTTCAAATAAACAGGAACACAAAGGAAAAGAGCTGTAGTTGAAGAACTGATTTTCTTCTACACCGTTACCTCTATGAGATTCAGAGCTTCATGCTTCTTAAGCACTTCACTTCTAAAATATTTCTTTCAAAGATGATCAATACAGTTTTCTTTGTTGCATGAAGCGTATTTCTCTTTTGTCCCAACCAAAGAAAGCCTCTACTTTATACTATGAATAATTTTCCAGATGGTATCCCAGCAACAAGTATCCAGCAAAGTGTATGTAAAATTGACTGTACTTAAATAAACAGCAGAAAAAGGTTGCAGTTGCTTTCAAGGACTCCAGTGATGCTTAGATTTTTTTTCAGAGGTACGTAATAAAGAGAAGTAATAAATCAATCGATTTAAAAAGCAATGCTTCGATGATTTTTTTGTACATCTTGTCTTGTTTGCTAACAATTAAATGAAACCCCATCTTTACAATTATTCTTTCCATGTTGCTAACCTCACAACCTTACTTTAGATAAGATTACTATAATCTTTTATATCTACTTTACGGACATTCCTTGGAATTTTACGGAATTAAGCTCCCAAACCTATGAAGGAAGGTCTCATTGGTAAGGGGTTTGGCTTGTGAAGATTTTGCTCCATTACTCTTCTGGAGCTGTAGGAATTGGCTGTATTAAGAAACCATTGGGGAAGCAAAGGTTGAGTGAACGTCGCAGCACAGTTTTCTCCAAGAGTGAGGGATTAGGAGATGCAGGCTCTCCTCTGCTGCAGACTAGTTCTGCCCCAGTTCTTGGACCTCCAAATGTAGGAATTATCTTGCAAGAAGCTTCCTGGAGGAGAAGCTCCACCTTTGAGGAAAGACTAAGGACATCTTCACTCCAGTGTTAACTAGAATTCCCTGCTCAAGCTCATTCCTCTCGAAAAAAGCCTTCTTGAGGGTGAGGTGCCATCCTACAAATGCTCCAGGTTGAGGAGAGCTCCTGGATTAGCAGCATACAATGGCTGCACCCCTGCAGCATTAACAGCTTTCACACTATAGCATTTCAACATTTACTCCATGCACCTTTTAGATAAGCTACAGTGAGTTTAAATTGTCACTGAACTCAAGCTATAGATTTTTTTTTTTTGTGAGAAGGAAACAGATTACAGCATTAGCTACACCTCGAGCTAAGACTGCTCCGAACTCATGCTTTGAAAACCGATTCTTAAAATACTCCCACAGGATTTCTCCAGGACAGGTCACGCAACCCCCTGCCCTTTCCTTTAATCCATTTGCACTTCTTCCAGCAACTCCTGGTCCCTACACAATTTCAAATCAAAGGTACTCAGATTTGCAGATGGGTATCAGGAACTTCTGTGTGGGAAAGACAGACCTGCTGCTGAGGACCTACCCAGAAGCAAAGCCAGCACAGCATGATCAGCCTTGAACAAATTGTCCTCAACTCAATAGAGAGTAAACACTGCCGAATACAAGCAACACTTTGTAAGGGCCAGGAATAAATTCAGATACTTACCCTGGAAGATGGAAGATTACAAGCTTCTAGCGCGGTCTCTACTCGTTTTCTGTCAGCGGAAAACAAGCGGTATATGCTGCAAAACGAAGACAAACCAGAGCGAATTGGCTTACAGACATGCCTTGATGGCCCACGTGGCTTAAAGACTGAATATCACTTCCCAGTCTATCGCATCTTTAGCTATTTATTTCCATTTGGCTGGCTGCTCAGTAAGACAAGTGAGTTTAATGGTGCCCACAACAAGTTTAACTCTACCCCACACAAGCCCCTATTACAGTGGATAGTTATTTGAAAAAGTCATCACTGCTCTCTTCATGTTACCCCAGTGATACGCAATTTGAATATATTTATCCTCACAACATGCCTCTGACATCCCAAACATATATTCACACTAAAAAGTCAGAGGAGGCTATGTGGTAAGGAAGGGGAACAGAACTTACTTCTTCAGAGGAATGCGCCCTTCTGGAGTCACCTGCAGCTTAAGTTTTGTGTAACTGTGGAGAGAAAAGCATCCCGTTTTATTTTTACAGCATTTTAAAGTACCTCTCCACCAACTTTATAGCTCAATGCCATTGTTCTGATCATGTGGCAAGTTCCACTCATCTCTTTTGCCCAATATGAAAACCTGTTGGGATACTGTTAATCACTAAGTACCTTTTCCATCAACAGTAATGCACCTGTAGTGTCAAATACCATCCGTCTTGCAACGGGACACTGCAAATACCATTAATGCACAAATTTATCATCCCCCCCCCAGCTCCTTCTCACCCAGGCTGCCTGCCAGTCTATCAGCAGACTGAATTGTGGCACACAGGCCACACAACTTGACTGGAAAGGTGGCTGTACTCCTCCTCTTCCAGGGGCTGAAACCATCCCTGGATGTTGCACACCAACATCCCTGCCTCCCTAAGCCCTCCCCATCACCCACCTGTGAAGGTATCTCTGTTTGACCCTAAATCTTGTCACTCCTCAGCTGGAAGGAAGTCAAGTCGCTGGCAACTGAAATGTCTCTCCACCAGCAAGAGTGTCAGTATACTCAGCAGCCCTGGGCAAGCCCAAGACATTTCCAGTGTGAAGCAATATAAAAATTACACGCTGAAACCGTCTACAGGCAGGCAATTATCCAGCTTTTGAACCGAGTATTTAGAGCATCTCAGTATCTCAGGACCTGTGACTTCTCTTGCATGCCCATTAAAGCAGCAGGATGAGGATGTATCTTTGCCCAAATCTTTCAACATACTGATTCAAAGCCTACTGAAACAGGAGTCATCCAGTAGCTTTAATGAGAAGCAGTCAGGCCTACAGCTGCTTTCTGATGATCTCCTGGTATGCGAGGATGACTGGTTACCAGCATAATGTCTACCAGCCTGCACAGAGCACGACTTTTTGAGTGCTTCATCTCTTCCACTCAAATATAATTAAAACTATAAATGAGTTTTGCGGTAATATGATCTGGTGAAAAATGTGGCAACACTTAAGTATTTCAGAGGATTATTTCATTTATCTATTTTTTAAACTTTTTCACTTTACCCACTGGCCTACCAAAAGAAAAAGAAACTGCATGGTTCTAATCAACTTTCCTTTTCTTCCCAACCGAAAATGCCATTAGCAACCGCTTCAAAAACAAAGTACGTGCTAATATCCCTAACTAGGATAGGAACATTTTCACAAATCCTTGTCTCATATACATCTTCTGGAAACTGAAATCTCTTGTGCTACTGTGTCACCACCAAACAAAAATATTATCCCCTCTGCCCCCATCTCCCAGCACTGAGCTAGATTAAAAAAAAAAAAAATTAAAAAAAATCACAGAGGTTAGTAAAAAAAGGTTCCTTTCATTTTGCGTTCTATTTTTTTGAAACTTTTGAGTACATTCTAGTCATATTTAATGTTTTCCTCTACAGCCAAGAAAGCTAGGAATAAAAGAAAATGGAGGGGGGGGGAAGAGATTCTGAACTTCAGTTAAAGCAAACTAAAAATGTGTGTCTGAAGAACAGTCAACGCCCACCAGTACCTGCCACCTTTTTTCCTCTCAAGTTCTCTGTTATACGAGATACTATCTTCCCCCCTGCAGCCATTATCCATCCATCTAAGAAAACCAAGCATGTTATTCCTGTTAAAAAGCTTGCTAGGAGATAGTCCCCATTGGTAGCAGCCGAATGGACAAATGGACAAGTTTGTCCAAGAAGGATAAACTTTGGACTTAATGCCGACCCAAGGTTTCCATAGTAGAGTCGCCCTTTGCTCATTACTGCACTGGTCAGTATTTCAGTGCTAATGCACTCCACCATCCATTTTTGCACCCCAACACAAAAATACACTGCATGGTTACAACAAAAGAACGAGCACTATATAACCAAAATGGCAGTTTTTATTAACCACCCCTCCGCCCAAATTAACCCTATTTTTCTCATCTGACCAAACCACAGGAGAGCTGCTCAAGCTGTTTATTATTGCACTTCCAACGCTGCAAGGGACTGAATGCCGCAAAGAAAAAAACCTTTTAAATTCTGCTCTAGTGCAATTTGCTTTTCTATTTCAACAGAAGGGTTCTGATAGGACTGCAACCAACCCTTTGCTTAGTACAGTAATTATAATGGGGAAATATTTTTAATCTTCAAAGTAAAAGATTTCTTAAGTGACTCTGATTTGGCATCTGTGCAGAGGACCTTGGAAACCCAAGTGATTTATTAATTAGTAGAAAAAGAAAAAAACACAGGAAGGCCATCCTTTCCTTCTCCTGAACCTACGTAATGTGTCCAGTGACTTCATCTTTAATTAATATTGCTTGAACAACGACAGAAAAATGGCTCCAAATAAGACTGCTCTACTTTACTGTCTGATAACACGTTCCTCCTTTGCATCTGATATGAAAACGCCCATTAAGTAGAGCCACAATGCTCCCCATTACAGACCTGTCAGCAAAGTCTGCTGGCCACCTGGGGATTTGAGTGGGAGGGGGGGTGGAAATAGTAATATCAGATCTCTCCCGTAACTCATCTACAACCTATGGAGCAGAAGGAAGTCATCTCTGCTCTTGCTCTCACACCTGGGTCTGCTCAGGTTAGCACAGCGCTTTCTCCACTGTCAACATGTGGAGCGAAAAGGAAAAGTTAAATGATTCCATCCATTTGGGATTTTGTTTGCCTAATATATCATTGCTGTCCCAACACAGCATTATCAGACACAAAGCTGTAGTTCCTGCAATGTCCAACTTTCAAAGTTTCTTCAAGAATTTCTGTTGACTTCAGCTGCACCACAACGACCGCTATGAGAAGGAAACACCCACACAGACATACACCCTTCCCAGAACAGGCACCTATGAACGTGTACATGGGATTAAAGTTAAGCAGTTGGGAACCTTCTGACTAAATATGGGTGCATCTAATGAAATTAGGCATGCACAGCCTTAGAAAGTCCAGAAAAAGGGTGGGTTAACTTGCTTCTTAGATGGAGGCAACTTCTAGGAACCTAAGCCCCAGCTCAGTATTTAGCTGGACTGAGCCTCTGTCTGCGAGCAGAAATTAAAAGCTGCATTGGGGGAGACACAAAACTGAATTTAACCAGCCAACTCATAGGCTGAGGAGGGTGTATCTTCTCTTTTAGAACCCCAAAAGGCCAGCAAGTACCCCGGTTCAGTACCGTCACTGTCTGGTAGACTTTGCCATGCTGTTCTCAATGCTACCACTTATGCAAAACTCTCTCAGCACCTGCACTTATCAACCAGTTGAGAATCACTAACCTCAGGTTTAGCTCTCTTTCCTTTTGGAGGTGTGTTTTCACACCCCAAACGGTCTCATGAACAGCTTTTCTACTTCGTTGAAAGCAACTCAGAATCTGTGCACCCTGCAAAACAATCTAGATGAATGGATTCACAGCTTCCCTCTGAATCACGTGAGAACCAGAGAGGTTAGACAGAGGAAAATGGACTTCTTGCATTTCTCATTTTTGAAAAAAGGGAAAATAAACCAGAAGCAAGTCAGTCTCCAGAATATTCTTTCATTTCAGATGGAGAGCTTCAGACTACAGCTGAAGATACTACTTTTGTATACAAGAGAAAGATGGCATTTAATTCTGGTTTTTTGCTATGACTTAGTAGTTTGCAGGAAGAACCCTAACAAGACTTTTGTTTAAATGGCGTTTAGATAACAGGCTTTTTAAAACCATGAGAAAGACAGCCTGTGTTTACAAAAGTGACAACTCATCAAAGCAGAAACAATAGATGACAATGTGACTAACAAGAAAAGAGGAAAATGACGCAGAGAAAAGAGCAACACCCACAGCATTAAATAAGACGGCCACTTACGCTTTTTCCAGAAATGCGTCCCTTGACATGTTCTGTGCCAACAAATTTGTTGCCAAACTGAACACTTCATCTGACCATTCCTATGGAGAGAAAATTTGATTAAATGAGGCTTCGTTTAGATGTTTACTTACACAGGGCAAAATATTTTTGAAAATTATATCGTTAGTAAAAAGTGCCTTAATTAAAATCTGAACTTGATTTTCCCAATTATAGCTTCCTTCCTTGTCTGTGAGACCTGATTTTCTCATGCTGCAAGAAAATGAAGACTGTTACAAATATTTTTTTTAAAGATAACTTATTCCACTGAATTGGGAAAAAAAAAAAAAAAAAAATGATAAATGTCTGATGCAAAACACATTCAAGTTCCTGGAAGACGTGCAATAAATGCCTCAGAAAAATACATTTTCTTGTGTGTTAGACACTGTTCTGGTTGACACATTAAGGATTAAAAAAGGAGCCTCTGTACCACCATTCTTATAAAATGAAGCTGAAACGGGCTTAAATCCCTTTGAAGACAGACAGACCCAACAGGGCGGGATACAGACCACACCATAGCAAGTCTCTTGCTTCAATGTCCCCTCTTGTAAGAGCTCACGAGAGCCTCCGCATCACTCTCTCTACAGATCATGAACTAATTGAGACAACAAATACCACGCTTTATCTTTTATGGGGGATACCAAGTTAAGAACTGTAAGTACTGACTCTATCTAAGATCTTACCAACCCATATAAGAAACACGCTTAAAAACAACAAATCAGCAGAAATATATAGGAATAAATTTGAATTATTCTGACATACAAGGAAGAAGATGCAACTCCAAATAGAAAAGCTCCTTCTCCCCCTACCATACATCCTTACGCTGTGGTCCTACCCCTTGCTAAATTGTGTTTCCCTCTTGCTACCCTGACGTAGGGAAGAAATGTCCTCCAGCTGCTCACGGGACACCTCCCTTCTCTGCCTGCAGGCACTGCTCTTCCCATGGCACTCTCCCACTTCTCCTCTCTTTATTTTCCCGAGTTATTTTTCTCATTTCTATGCATGCTGCTGAAGTCCTTCCCTTAGGTGTCTGTCCCTTCTCAGGTTCCCAGCAAGGCTGATCCATTATTATAATCTGAAATTTAGACTCTCACTGCTCATACTGTCGCTCTCCTCCCTTGCAGATCTCTCCTGCAGCTCTTCATCAACAACTTCAGCGCATTTTTCCTTCCTAACTTGGTGCTTATTTACAATCTTTAATTGCAATCCTTTTTAATCACAACTGCAGTTTTGGATAGGCTTTGTTTCACCCCTTTAAAAAAAGAAAGGAATGAAAATAAACAATGCCTTTGCAAACAATGTGATGCTTTTTTTTTTTCCCCACTTGATGAAGTTTTCTGAGTTTTCTTTGAAACTAAAGTTGAGTTTCCTTTCATATCAGTCCAGATCCAAAATTCCCATTACCACACACCCTCCCAGGCACATGCTCTTTGGAGGTATTCCCTCTCCCTGGTTCTTCTTTCTCGTGAGGAAAAATACAAAAAAAAAAGGTGATTTCGTCCTGACAAAAATCAATAATGATGAAAAGTATCATAGACTTCTAATGAAACAAGTGTTGCTATGTCACTTTGGAGCTTACGAGTTTGTTTTACCCAAAAAGCCTCAAGTTTCCACGTGACTAGGTGATCAATTTGAGAGGTTCGGAAGTTATAATTTTTTATATTTTTTTTAATGTGCTAAGATTTGTTCCCTAAAGTTATCAGATCTTGTTCCTGAAACCAGTCTCATACAGTTGCTCCCAACGAGGAAGAGAGAAGGCTACCTACATGCCTGCTGTTATAAGGGCCTTCGATATCCTTCAGCTACCAGATCCTTAAATCCACCCCATTTACAACCTCACCCCTAAGCAGCTGAGACAACACACCTCCCTGTGACTGGTATTTCTGGCAGAGAAACCTTCCTCCCTCTGCCACAGACTTCTTGTTCTGGAGGTAAACCACTCTTGCGGAGATATTCCTCCCCTTCACCTCTCATGACTGCTTCCACCTTTTTTTTTTTTTCCTTTACTTCTTTTTCCTTCTTAGGTCTTATTTGAAAAAGACAGGGGTGTGAGAAAGAACAAGAGCAGGAGTCGGGTTCGTTAACACCACCACTGCTTTGCTGTGACTCTTGGAACAGAAAATGTATTAAGTGCAGCATCTTTTTTTCTTCTTGGCAACTCATTTTTCCAGGCTCAAAATAGGCTTATCTTGTAAACACTGCTTTTTTCAGGCACTAATAATAGCAGTTAAAACTCCTCCCTGTACCACTAACGGCTGCAAAGATTAATGGCAACATAAAATATTATTTAGAAATTGAAAATACATTGGCTTTTAACACTTCTTGATAGACTTTGTTTTGATCTCACTGATTCTGCTGGGCTTAAAACTGAAGTATTTTGTAGAAAACAGAAGTAGGGCACTTCAGGAGTATCCCACACCCCAGCTCTTCCTTCTCTTTGTCTGAGCACTTGTTAACAGGAATGTAAGGGGAACTCAGTTATTATGTGCCTGTCACAAGCATTATTTATATAAACAGTCTTGCCATGTTCCTCTGCTAGCTTTTCCTGGCTCTTCAAGCTCTTGCCAAACAGAAATTCTAAGGGCTACCTGCCGGCTGAGCCATTTCTAATCATACAGGTGCCAAGTCAACAAGTCACAAACAATACTTGCTCACTGCCTCTCCCATTTTAGGGTCTTCATTCCAGCCACCACAGAGCCGCAGCCAAAAAACCAAGATCAGAAAATATGCCAAGGATCACGTCATCTTTCCAGTCGCTGGTCTGAACCCCCAGGGGGAGGGGAAACAACAGCCCTGAGCACAGACCTGAAGAAATAAAGGAGATGCTTTGGACTGACTTTGACGGGCTTGCATCAAGCTGTGAGCCAAGATGTGTCTCGCCGTTTCAGCTACTAAATGGCTCCGTTTCCTTGGTTTTGCTGCATGGTACAGAGTAAAGCCCATACTCTTAACTCCGAGCACAATGCACTCTGCAGCCGTCTTTACCAGCCGCAGCGATTCCAGAAGGCAGCGCTCGGTGAGAGCGCTCTGCAGGGTAGAAAGCTGTTATGTGTAGAAAGAAAACAGCTTACTGCGGGAAGGTTATAACAGCCTCTGAATCACCATGGTGGCTGCAGACTCCTGTACAGATGCAATACAAAAGGAAAATATAAATCTGGGTATTTTGAAATAGGACTGTATTAGTGCCAACAAACCGTTTGCAGACTGGAAGCCTCTGATCCTGTTTGGTAGCGGAAGAGCCCAACCCTCCAACATTCAACTCCAAGCAAGTCACATCCATCATGATAAGAGCTCCCTGAACTCGATCTCCTCTCCTGTTAGACTAATTCATATTTATATCATTCCTGTGAACTTTACTAACAAATTATTTAGCTGTTCTGTGCTTTGGCAGGTAGTGTATAAGCAGCAGTTCATTTGGAAATCTGTTGCTTGGTGAAGTAATTTCTCTCCTCTATTACATGCATCAGGATACATACTGTAAGACATTTATCTCAACAGAAGAGATGAGACTTTTTTCATAAGAAAAGACGGCGCACGTTCTTGAAAACACTTCCTTCAAATCAGAACTGACTATGTGTGAAGGCAATGTTTCTCACACATTTGTTTTTGGTGGGAGGTTAACAAAGCAAGCTGCTGAAATTCTACACTTTCAGCATCCTCATGAATTTTATTTTAAAAAATATATCAAATGGACATGAATTTATATGGTTTGTTTCATCGTTTTATTATACTGATCAAGCTCTTAAATATGCTAAGAAGCTGGAAAAATAAAGACGTGTGCTGGAAAGCATAGTATAGCACAACTTGTGAATCATCTTTGACTGCATCATTTTACTTATGGAGGAATTCATCACCTCTTAGTGATGGATCTGATCCAAAGCTCATCAAAATGAGGAGAAACAGATTTCCTTGGGCTCTGGGTAGGGGTCTGTATGGCCAGGATGGACTACTGTGGTGAGAACAGAGTTGGCATGAGAGGCACAAAAGAGTGTGAAAGGAAAGAGATGGGAAAGACGGGATGTTCACTTTTGAAGTTACTGGATTTGGGAAGAGAATGAAATACTGTAGAGGAGACACAGAGGTTCACAGGTTGTACTTCTTCATGTTGGGAATGGAGACTGAGAAAAAGAACATTCGCTCAGAACAGGGTTTGAGAATAAACTTCTTTCTTTATCCTGGCTTCTGCAGTGCTATGTTTGTGGATGCTCCTATCCCAAGACAGGCACAGGCACACTCAACTGAAAATAAGCAAGCACTGTATCAGTACTACTTCTCCTCATCATCAAGACGCATCCAGCAATCTGCCTTTTAGACCATTACCTAATGAATGTCAGGCTGCATTCTTTGAACAAACCTGCTGCTCAGTGCCCTTCAGCTCATCGCTAGTGTACTTTAAACATTAGTTACATTCTCCTGGAGGAATGCACATAAAACAGTATGTCGTGACTACATCATCATTTCTAGCTCTTTATTTAGTTCACTTAGAGCAAATTGAATAGCCCAAGGCTCGTATTTTCATAATTTTCCCACAACTTGGCCAGTGGATGTGATGCACAGAGTTTGTAGTAGAACCGGACGCCTTCTGCAAAGGAAGAAAACCCCATAATCCATAATTTTAACTGTCTCACTAAGACTGTTACAGTTTACTTCGCCTTTCTCCTCCAAGGGACGACTGATCGGTACTTGTCACACAACTTGAAAAATAAGGTAACACAAATGAAGGATTAATGTGAAAAATATTCCTGCACTGAAAAGGGAAAGGTGGGGGAGGTTTTCATTGGCACTTGCTTTCCCTGGAACATGAGCGAGAGGAAGGGACAAAATCTGCATGTGTGACATTGAAAATGTCTTGTATTTACACGCCTTCTCAGAGCTCCCTGATGTGCTTATTTATAATGACTCCTCTGAGTCACTACATGGATCCTGGAGATGACAAGGACCAGATTCTGTGGTTCAGCAATTATAGAATTGGAAAACACGTTAAAGAAGGAAGAATTTTTAGATGCATTCAACAGTGATCAAACTCTGCTTTCATTGAAACAGTCAGGATATTTAGCATGATTTCAGCGCAAGCACAGTTAATCTGCAATGCTTTGAAAATCCCATCCCCAGGCTACAGTGCCTGAATGAAAAATATGAATTTATTTGGTCTACCGCATTTATAAATAACAAGGAAGGCTTAGATTCTTAGTTACTCAGATCGTAGGAGTTACTCAGGATTTAGAGCAGCTGAGCTTTTCTAAAACATGATTTTATCTACAGTATTTTTAATGTTCCATTACCAAACAGAAAACGGCCCTAAAATACCAGTTTCTGCACTGTTTTAGCAAATAGATTATGCTTCACTGATTGCTGGTTAGACAGGAAAGAGAAAAAGAAGGACATACGCTTCTGATTTAGGTGATTTTCCCTCTTCCTTGGCAAGGGCTAACAATTTTTTCTGGTAAAGCTTTAGCATACCTTTTCATTTTCCATCATATGCTTAGTTTTTTGGTTTTTTTTTCCCTGAAGAGTTGTTTCAATTGCATTCACTTTTGCAGTGTTAAGATTTCTTAACCGCCCCTGTAGAGTATAGCTGTGCGTTTTCAAGTCTGAGGACAGCACTTCCCACTCAGCAGTCCGTGGACTGCCACAACTCATTTTGTTTCTATTCATTCTAGAATAGAATGCTAGTGGACTCGAGGATGCAAACCATATGAAAGTGTGTTCTGTGCGTGGTTATCTGGAGGCTGTCATCAGTCTATCTACATGAATGGAAGTGGAAAGAGGAGTAGCTTTTGAATGCCAATTTGGAATAGATAAAGCAAAGAGCTCCCACTTCATTAAACACAATTGAGTCGTATAGAAACTGGAAGAAGAAAAAAAAAAAACAAAACCCCAAACGTGCTAATACCAATTGTAACTTGCTTATCACACACAACTGTGTTTTACATGGTGTGTTGGACAGAAATGAAGGGACTGTATACCTGCATGGAAAAAATACTTTGCTAAGGTAATGACGTTGACTTCACAAATTCTTATCAAGGGCTATCAGCAGACAAAATGCAATGCTTAAAATTAACCTTTGAACATGAGCAGAAATGGCCATGTGTGCAAGTTAAACTAAGTGTCTGACTGCTGACATACTTGAGTAAACAAGGTAGAGCTGTAGATTCCCACTACTCTGATATAGGTCAACCTTAAAAAGTCAACCGTTTACAAACTTTGTTCTCACACAGATGATCCATAATTCACACACACTTCGAAGAAGCGTAAAAGGGTGATAACTACTGAAAGATATCGGTATGTGTTTGGAGAGTCACAAGTATTCATCTTATAGCTGAATTAAAATTTGTGTGTACTATTATTTTCACAATGCTTATTTGGGCTTTACAAGCAATGTTCTGAAGACGAGCACACATATTGGGGGAAAAAATTTGTGGAATTAACTCCCAGAAAAAAAATGATTGCACGTTTCTTCTTTGGTATTGAGCAGCACAGCTCTATAGCAGAATTGAGGTTCGTTTCATAGCAATCTCCACTTTTATCTCATTTATCCATGTCTCAAAACAATAGTTTAAAAACATTTTAATTTTATATGTCACAGATGAATGTATATTACCTTTGCTATATCCTCTTGGAATGCCACCAAGTTCAAGTACGATATATTGACCAGGTCTGGACCATAGACAACAGTTATCATTCGATTTTCCAGTCGACCTCCTAGGTTCCCAGCATCCAACAGTTCGCGCAGTTTTGGATCCTGCAGGTAAATACATTACAAAGTAGTTAAAAATCTTTTGCAAATACTTATACTAAAAGAGGTGAATATTTTTGCAAATACTTCAATTTTGAAAACTTGTGTTATTTTGAACATTTTAAACATGATGGCACTAGGTTCTAATTGGTTAATTACTCATTAAAATATTTAAAGTTATAAACCCAAAGAAAATCACTACTGTAAATCTTTCAAAGCCTTTGAGCTCTGTATTGGTACAGTATAGACTAAAGGCTGTCCAGCTGATAGCTGCAACTTCCTATTCTCAGTTATTCTGCCTCAGAAGTTAAGCGTACATAAACTGTTTTGTTTGTCAAAATAACACAATCTGTTCAAAGGCTACTGGCCTCGGCAGATTCTCTATGATTTTAATGGATTTTAGATAAAGCTCAGAATGAGAACTCAGTTCTTCCTAAGGAATTAAGACTGTCTGGAATTAACTGTCATAAACAATATGAAATGAATAACGGAATTTTGGTGATGCCCTCCTCTTTCTTCTTCAAGTCCAAAAGGCCATGCATTATTTAAACTATGAGATATATTCCATTTATATTTAGTTTTTAATCTTTTTTTCAGGTTTCTATTCAATATAGAAATGACTACATAACATTTCTGTAAAGGAAAGATATATTCAATGATTTTTACCAGATAATAATAGCCTGAACCTCAGCTTCATTGGTAACACAAGCATGTGAGAAACAATTTCAGGTTATTTTGCAACTCTACTAGTTTCTATTAGGCTGCAGCATTCCCAAGAAATGCACTCAGTGTTTTTCAAACTAAGAAAACTGCTTGGCCCTTGGCCTTAAGATGAAGTTTATCAAGGCAAAGACAGATGAAAAGAAGCCCTGCATGACTGAATTCAATCCCTTGAATGCAGGCAGTATAATTTGAAAGCTCAGGTTTCCTAAAAGGCAAGATTGTTCAGTCCGGTACAAATACTAAAAAATGGCCAGCAAATAGTACCACTACGTGATGACAGATTCTGTGTAGAGATCAAATGATCCCAAAACTGACACAAATACATACTGCAGTTTACATTTCACTCTCACATGAACCTTTTCCCCCCACTGTCTGCATATGTTTAGTGTTTATGGTACTTCTTAATATTTAATAACTTCTGAGTAAGAATCTAAATCTCCACCGACTGATACAAATTAAATTTAGCGTAACAGGATGATAAGCTTAAGATGATGAAAAGGGCCTTTTTTCATGGATCTCACAGGAAATCCTGTATCAACAGGACCTCAGCCTAAAGGGCATCTCCTGATTGGCATCGTATCTGCTTGTAGGCAATGGAGTTATGCGTATGTTCACCAAATACTTCACAAGGTTTAGGAAAGCGTTTTGAAGTATGGCCTATTAACAGGAAAGAAACTACAAGGCTGTCTATCGTAAAATGCTGAGCCTCATTAAATACTGGCTATGATGGCAAGTGTTGCAGGAAAACAGACAGAATAATCCTATTTGAGGGTTCTGTAAAGAAGGAATATGATTGTGCTCTGAGACAAAGATGATTTCATGGGTAAACAAGTTAATGACAGGCTTTCACGTAAGAGAAAAACAGAGGAGGGATATAAAAATAGTAGTTGTGTCCCAGAGATGGGAATTTGAAGGAGAAGGACAAAGAAATTGTGTCAATTTACATCTAGGAGAAAAGCTAGAGAAATGCCCTGAAGTTGCTAATTAGCGATGGTGTATTACTAGATGGGTTACTTTCTCTTTTATTTACAGGCTGAATGTTACAAAGCGCTGTTTAATTTCTCTGGGAGATGAGAACTCATCTGCTTTTTACTCTCTACCATTTCAAACCCAAAATCAGACTGATAAATGCTTCTGCTAAAGGGCCCGTCTGGGAAGAGCATCATTCTTTCTGAACTCAAACTGAACAGGATTGTCTGTCTGGTTTTTTTCTCTTTCACGTATTTGTCATTTCTTTCTTCCTTTCCCTGGCTGAACCTCTTGCCTCACAGCGTCACTCATGGTGATGAAATACAATCATATCAACAAAAGAAGAAAGAAGATAACCTTTTTCCTTTGTTTTTATAGGATGTCAACTATAGGATGTCTCTATGATGGATCATACGCTAGTTAGTCTAAGATATGCATTAGCCATGCACCGCAGAATAAAAAAGAAACGTATTTGAAATGGGATGTTTTTCCAAAGCAAATTAATCAAAACAGAAGTTATCTGGGGCTGGCTCAGCAAGGTTTTTAGAAGTGCAGAGTAAGTGGCCAATCAGGCAATGTGAGTACGAATTTGGGCTTCCAAATTACAGGATTTTTCTCCAGGTTTTAAAGGCAAGAAATTACACAGACCATCCTCTTTGGGTTGCTGGGTTTGGATGAGTAAAATGTTGAATTCTTCTATTCTGTTTAAGACTTGTCTAACAAAGTTTGAAGCACACAGTCCCTTACAGCAATATATTATCTGGCTGCCATCCAGCACCTATTAATAAAGGACGTACACTGCATATCCTGGGCTATCTCAGTGTAACCTGCAATGTGCTCCACAGACTTAAAATAGATATTTTTAGTATAAGTTCAGTGAAAGAGAATAATTTTCATACTAACAGGATTCACGCCCTTTTTGACCCCTGCCATGGGTGTATTTGCCCTCTAAGGGTGACAGCTCCATTTCCACTTGTCAGTGACAACTTAGCCCTTAATTGATGAGGTCATATTCTTAGATCTGAAGCTCTGAAATTTAGATACCCAAGCACACCATCAGCTCTTCACATTCCTCATGAACAGCTCTGCTCCCTTATTACCACACTTAACTGCAAACACTACTAAGGAGGTGAGCAAAATATCCTTTATCAAAACCTTCAAGACTATCGAAGCTCTATGAATCAAAGCCGTTTTTAAACTGTCAGCAAGTTTTCCTGTGGAGATGATAGGAAAAAAAACATGGAAAAAACCCTAAGCAGCAAGACCATATTTAGCTTCTTTTATGTAAATCGGATTATTTTGATTTTGATAATTCCATTTTGAGGAACGAGACAGAAAGTCTGCTGCTGTTTGGAGCCGCATTTGATATACTGGCTCACGAGCGGACAGATTGGTTTTTGGCGTAAGCTCTTTGCTAGACTGGGGCCTTATTATGAACACATTGAGCGCTTTTAGAGACATTCAGAAGAATTATACCTATTGAATATCGATTATAGTCATTTTTTAAACACCTGAGCTACTGAAGCTCTATCATGTTAGGGAACATGCCCATGGGATGCTCAATAAGCAGCAGGTTATTGACAGTGCCCACGCAACTCAAAGTTCCCTTTGTAGCACAATGATTTATTAAGTCTGGTTTTTGGCAAAGTAGCATTCTTTTGCCTCTTACACTCAAAAGGTCTAGGTGTCAGCTTGCTTTTTCCATGCCACTGAAGTCTAGCAGGAGCTTCAGCTCAAGGACTGGAGCTGCCTGAAGACTTGCCCTGAAACCAGGTCAGGAAAGCCAGCGTTGCTGATTGGACCCCTCTGTGGTTAAAGGGCTGACAGATTCCCGGAGGGAGACGCAAACTGGGAGCAGGCAATAGAGAGGAGGGGACAAGGATGGTATTGGCAGCACAAACAGCTTTAGAATCCATTAAAAATAAGATCAGCCATGTCAAACTGATGCAAGAGTTGGCCAGAGGGCTACCTGCTCATTTGGTAAAAAGCCCTCCCTATTTGGTTTCGCTGTCTTGACAAAACTATCAAAAGAAATAAATATACCTTAAATCAATCCAAAACAGAAATAGAAAATAGAAAAAAATTAGCGAGAAACATGAAAAAAAATTAAAATAAAAGCTTATGGAATTCCTATAACATTAATGAACAAACGCTGAATAATGATGTTTTGTTAAAAACCAGGATCCTGTAGACAGATAAAAATAGATTTCAGTCAGACTTCCAAAACTTTCCCCTGTTGTATTTCCCTTTCACTGGAAATCATAAAAATAATGTAAACTTAAAGAGGCTATTCAGCCACATTAATGACAATCTCAGCGAAGACTGCTTTCAGCTGTGGTTGGTGTTATTAAAATGTAGCTCTTAACACTTACATTCCAATTAATGTGTGCTCTGCACATTACAGTAAATGCCATAACATCTTTTAATAGCATCCCCATCTCTTTAAACATTTTTCTGAAAACTTGCAACACACCATCTGTCTGCAAAAACTGTCTGTTTTTTAATACCTTGCCGCACATTTATATAAAAGGCTGCCATGCAGTTCAGTAAAACTCAAACACTCATTTCAACACACCAAGGGGCAGCAGGTCAGCCAAGGTTTCACCTCAGATATAATGCACTGCCTTTTGTTACTAATGCTTCTCAAAGCTGCAGCACCATCTCCGAGAGCAGCTGTCTCTGATCCCAGACCTACATTAAACAGTAAAAGAATCTGGCCAATGCTACAGATTTGCCTCGGGATTTAATAGTTACAGACAATGTGATGGCCAAACTGGATGATTATCAAAAGACTCAGCCAGAACTTCTGGGTTGCTAGAACAGTTGTGCAATTGAAGTACTATAGGAAATTTTTCTGGTGTTTGAAGACATTAATTTACAATGCAACAATCTAAAGGAGTCATTGTAGACTAAACTACAGGTATAGACTACAGGTATAGACTACATGCAGTGCGTACTACATTATCTACACAACACTGAATCCCGCGCATGCAAAACATCATACGCTCCCTGCCCTCAAACAACTATCAGCTGTAACCATTATCTCATGCAGTAAAACGCTGTCTTTAAAATGTCAATTAAATACTTGAGTCCTACTGAAGCTGTAAGTATGAAAGGCATCCCAAAGGCTCCAAAAAGTAGATGTCTAAAAAAAAAAAACAAACCACCAAATAAACCCTCACCAAACCCTATACACAAACTCAGTGTTTATCAACTATTTTCATTACTTCTGTCAATCTGACTTGCAATTTCCAAATGCTTTCTGTTTCTGGTACTAAAAATATGCCATACTCCTTACTTTAAAACACTGTATT